AGGTGCTCACACCTGAAGAAGGCTCCACAGCCGAAACGTTGTGTTCTCTTTCTTCTTCTTTTTTTCAGCATGGAATAAACCTATTACTTGTTCCTTATAAATCTCATGCTGGTTTGGTTTATCTTAGCTGATCACTAGCTTTAGAGACAGAAAATGGTGAAAATTAATGCTACCTTCCTATATTAAGAAGTCCTAGAAAGCTGTCTTAATTACTCACAGTAGTTCAGGTGGGTAGCTGCGTCCGCATGCGTAGGCTGCAAAGGAACAAGTAATAGGTTTATTCCATGCTGAAAAAACCTGAACCTGCACACCTGAAGAAGGCTCCTCGGCCGAAACGTTGCGTTTTCTTTCTTCTTTTTTTTTCAGCATGGAATAAACCTATTACTTGTTCCTTAATTACCCATATACATTTTCAGTCTCTTTTACACATGTGCCATTTGAACAGAATTGGCAATAATCACACAGAAAAATTAAAAAACTAACAGCATATCTCCAGTTCATGGATACATGAAAAGCAGGTTTCAAGAGGATACTTCAAGAGACAAAGATATCTGTTGCTTGTATATTATGCAAAAAGGAGCTGTCCTAGGATACTTTTCTTCAGAGCTGAATCCCTTACAGTTCTGGTTGTACTATATATCATACATATATCATGAAACCAGAGAAATTTGAATTATTCCAGCAATATATGATCTAAAATGTGCATCTCTTTATCTGGTCCTATTCACATCTGGTTATTGGCCTTGCTTGTTAGCTATCAACATTGTTTGTATCTCCCTGTTAAGCAATATTTACACAACATGGACATGCCTACCAGTCCTAAAACTCTTACAGACTATCATGTTTAAATATTTCTGGCACAGTGTAATTAGAAAATGAAAGAAGATAGTAATAGAGTATTACAGAGGAATAGAGGCAGCCAATCTTGCTTTTATTTTCAAGCATATGAGGGCTTTTAATGCTTACATTATGATATAGATCAGCTAGATTTCTCTTGCAAGGCAGAGAGTTACTAACATCTGTGATGAACATTTGGTTACACTGGAAGCTTTAGAAAAAGAACAAGTCTCAGGCAACATTAAACAGAAAGAAAACACCAATATAAAAACAAAATTACAATGTATCACATTTCAATTAGACCCAACTGAAAAAACTACTTTATATAGGGGCTCGGGAATAATTATTTGAATTGAACATACATTTTAAAAATGTGAATGTGTGTAATACATATGGCAGGACGACTTTTGAACTGGTGGAGTCTACTCGAATTAACTAATTAATCAATAGATTATCCAATCAACTAAGAAGACGATGAATCAGTTTTGATTTGGAATCGTTGTGCCTCTCACGTGTCTTGTGTCTTTACCGAAGACTGGCCTGCGTCAGGGAGAAAAGAAAAGAAAATGACTGAAGCTGTGCTGCACTCCCATCAGCCTTACAAGGTCAGTCATGAAGAGAATGAAAAGGAGTCACTGATGGGGGGGGTAGGTGATATGGGGGTGGGTTTGGGTTGTTACAGTCCATCTGTTTTTGTGCTGCTGTGTCTGCGAGAGAGTAAAGTTAGACACCACTTCCTCATGCGGACCAGTTCCTGATTAGATACATGGAACCCTAAAGATAGAAGCTGTCTTTGAGCAGCAATGTGTGGAATGTTCACCAGTTGCCCCCACAACAGTGAGCTCAAATGCTGGGCTGCAGACAGAAGTGAGATAGCCAGAGGGAACACGTTTATTAAAGGCTAACAAAAAGACAGAGTGGCTGCATCTCCAGGCTTTCTGCACATCAGTGGATGTTAAACAAAAAAAACCCAGATAATTCCAAGAGCTTTCAACAAAAAAAGACGATAGCGTGTGACAACACTCGCTAGGATTTGCTCTGTCATTGTACTACATATAATTACATATAAATGAGAAAATCGGAAAGTAGCATAAGAAATTATTTCTAAGAACATAGAGTCTGAAAATTAGAGGCAGGCTATTTGGCACTGTTGCCTTTTCTGGTTACTGATATAAAAAATAAATGTTAAAAATGTCAGAATCATTATATCTTTTTGTTTTCATGAACACAGGTGGGTGCATGTACTGCATGTATGTTTGTCTGCATATGTAGAGTCGAAATCTCAAACTTATGATGAATTAGGCAGAGCTAAAATCGTACCAAATGTGATTAAAATTCTTGACAACTTTTGAGTCCAGACTGTAAAATCTAAATGTAAAAACTCTTGTGAAAACTTATACCATTTCCTGTATCTCAATACTGGTTAGTTTCTGTTAAAAACCACATTGCAATTAAAAAGCATAGGATTTATATTCATTTGAATCCACTACTGAAACTACTGAGTCTTTGTTTTCTTAAAATGTCACATAATCTAAATGTTTAAGAGACCTGGAATAGTATACAGTATCTTAACAGAAAGTA